CTCGTTGGCCATGCTTCTGAATCCCAACAACACAAATACAACCAGACTTTTGTTCCAACGAAATTTCATATTAAACCTGGGCGGTCAAATATAAGCCTTAACGGTGAATTCAAAGCAAAGCTTTATGTTCAAGCACTTTTTTTTAAAAAAAAAAAAAAAGCCTTTGTCAGTGAACTACTGTTGATTTCTTCTTGTAATTTCCTACCTCCCACGTGGCTTGCCCATTTCAATACCATTGACAAAGTCAAATTGGAACTGTGATATGATGACAGATAAAATAAACATTATATATCTCTCTCTTTTTTTTATCAAGTTAAAATAAAAATAGAAAGCTTTGCTAATAATAATAACCATAAGATCCTATTGATGTCTGCAACATTTTCAATTCAAAACACTCTTTTTGTCAAATGTAAATACTCTGGCAACTTGACAAAATCCGAAGACAAAGTCTCGAACATCCTCAATTGAGTTGTTTGAATCCTTAAGATACCCCTGTAAAATCAGAAAAATGTGGTACTTCAAATTATCAATAAAACGACCCAACCACACAAGATTATGTCCATAAAGCATGCTAGAACAAGCACATATACACTGCTCTCTTCACACAATTCAAAATACTCTTAATAACCAGCAGAAGCCATATTCAATTCTCAGTTACTCCTCATTCTTCTCTTTTCCCTTCTTTAACTGACACTTCACCTGTAAGAGTGTGACCCTTGAATAAAGTGAGAGGATGATAGAAGAAGAAGATTAACATTCTCAGTTATAATGATAAGCTACTAGTCATCACTCCATTAAAATTTACCAGGCGATGACAAATTACACTTGCAAACCTTGAAGAGGAATCTAAACAAGGTGCTTCTTCTAAGAATGAGATTCTTCATTTGATGTAGAAAAAGTTCAATTTTCTTAATATCATACAAGTAAAATAACGCCAATTACATTGTAACCTCGTGGCATAAATATTTTTTTACAAGTAGGAGGTTGCAGGTTTGATCTGTTTGTGATTTCAAGCACACGCTTTTATGTCTAACCCAGGGCTAAGCAAGGAAACCGTAGCCTGTTATACTCATTCATGACCCGATGAAATTTTACCCGTTTAGACCCGCCTAAAAAACATATAAAACAAATGGGCTCAAATGGGCAGCTTAATATAATAAATGGGCAGGGGCTGCCCATGCCAGCCCGTATATATGTTTTAATTTTTTTGTGTATAAATTTTATTATACTATATTAATTTTCTTTCCCACTCGGCAACAATGTTCTTGGTTCAGTGGCAAATGTGGTTTGCTGATTTCTTTCACACACTTCTAGATTCGATTCCCAGCGCCTATAAAAATTCTTATTTTTTTAATTACTTTTAATATACCATTTAAATTTGGGAAAATTAGTGAGAAGGACCTAGAAAATATAATATTTATTTTAAAGAATCATAAAAATTATAATTATTATTTAAAAGAACCAGATAATAACATATAAATTTAAAACTACACAATTACCCCTAACCAGACCTCCTAAATTTCCTTCCACATTCTTCATTTCTCTCCCACATTCTGGTTATAAACTAAAACTACTACGAATTTATAAACTTTATTAAATTAAAAAGTGTTTCTGTCAAAATTTGCCACTTAGTTAAATATCTATTGTATTATTCAGTTACAAAAAAATTAGAATTTTATTTTTAGAATCAGCACAAATTTCAATTAAAATCAAAAGTTAGCCAATTTTAGTAAAACTTGCAATTCTTTTATAACTTATTATATGTGTTAAAAAAAGGTTATATATTTCTGCAAAGTAAAATGAAAATTTAAGTAACTTTAAATAAATCAAAGAAAGTTTGTATAGTTTATTTTTATTTTAGAAGAAATTATGTAAGTTTAAAAAAAATAAAAAATACATATAATTTCAATAAAATAGAAAACAAATAATCTATATATATCTTTCATGTGAAATTTTGATTACCTCCGTTAGAATTTAGAAAATACTTGTGTATAAGCAAAAAAAATGCTTTTTTAACATGTTGATATACTCATTATTAAGATACATATTAGGTAGAAAATTTAACATCTTCTACATTAGTCTATTCTTTGCTTACAGGTTAAATTTTTTAGGGGCATGCTCCCTTGTTATTCTTGTAAGTGAAATATAATTTCTTTCATCTTCCTTAAATCTTTAATATTTCCTCTTATATTGTCACATAAGTTTACATAGATAATTCTGACAAGATATAAACTAAGTTTGGTTTTTGTTTTAGTGAAAAGATGTTAGTACTTAGTAGACATTAGTGTTGATAATATGAATTTAGGCAAAGCAACGTAATGATGAATAAAAAATTGATAAATAATAATGTTAATAATTAAATGAAATATTGATGATAAGCTATTGGTACTGACTTTGAAAATGTGGCTTTAATGATGATAGAAGTTATGTGGTTGATTAGGTGATTTTTTTACACGGGTTCTTCGTAACCCATTTAACCTGTTCATTTATTTTCAACCCGTTGTTAAACGGGTTTATTACGGGTACGGGCCAGCCCGTACCCTCGTAACTTTAAACGGGTGGGCTACGAGTTAGCGCACAAGCTGCCTAATCTGTCCGTTGCTCTGTCCTAGTCTAACCAAATAGGTAAAACGAATTAAATGATAAACACTTGTTCTTAATTTATGTGAAAAATAAAATGCAAAAATAGAAACCTGGTAAAGAGACACAACAATTGGAAAACATCCGAAAAAGTGAACTTATGCAAGAAAGCTTCAAATAATTTCCTCAAACCCTAAATTATGTTCAATTTTCTTCCCCTAATTTTAACGCCACTGACAATGTTGACTGATGCCGGTTGTGAGACAATGGTTTGACCAATGCTAGCTAAGCTATTTAATTACATACTTTATTTTTAACCTATTTCTCCTTATTTCTTCTTCTTTCATCTTTTAAATTCCTTCAAAAATACCAATGAACTACCTTAACTAATCTCCCTCAATTAAACTTATCTACAAATTTTAAGAGTCTTACATTAAAGCCTAGTTTAATTAGAATTAGATTGTTCAAGTATAAAAAAAATAGCTTAGTGTATTAAAGACAATGTCACTTGCTTTATTAGTTTTTTTTTTAAAAATAGATTTTCAAATCCTTCTTTATATAAACACCGTTCACGAGGAAAATGCAAAAATAGAAGCCTAATGGAGAGATAAAACAATCACAGAGAGAGAGAGAGAGAGAGAGAGAGAGAGAGAGATAGATTACTTGCCTAAAGAATAAAGAAGGGAGTTCAGATTATATCCACGCTAAGTGTTGGCATGTGTACCCTCATCAAACTCGATTTTTTTCAAGTGAGGCAGTGGTTGGTGCTCTTCAACATCGTGAGGCCTCTTGCTTTTCCTCCCTATTTCCATTTGCTCAACAAATTTCTGACATTCTGAGACAGATACAGGCCACACCCCGCATTCTTTGATCATTGACATGCTTTTGCCAGGTATACGAGGTACAGCAGAGAATTCAAAGCGAAGCTTTATATTAGTGAACAACTGTTGATTTCTTCTTCTAATTTCATCCATTATCCCTATATATGGCCAGGCACCATTCCATATAAAAACATAATCAGATTTCATATCTGGTAACAACTTTAGACATTGTGAAACTGCCGCATCAAAACCTTCCAAGTAGATTGTGCACGTCAAATCTGTGTTCTTTGCTTGCCATGTATTATTGGAAATGAATGGCCAGGGGTGTTAGGAGGTATCTGTGAAGTTGTGATATTTTCTTAGGATACAAAAATTAGAAAGTAGCTGCACATCGAGTGCTTCAGTGAAACAGATGTAGTGGATACAGTTAAGAAGACGGCTCGTTTTATTGCTCCGTATATTCCTTTTGCAGTTATTCACGTGGTACAAGCCTTCATGGATAAAGTCATTGAGCTCCAATGCTTTCCTCTGTCAGAGGTAAAAAACAGGGACCCTGTCTTCTCTGGCACGCTATGGAGGGCACTTTTTAAGGCACGCAAAATTAAGTTTTTGTATTCCTCATCCTACGGTCCTCAAACAGATGCCTTGAGTGCTATCTAAGATGTATGAGTGGAATGCAACCTGAGGAGCGAAGTAAATAGTTGCTCTCTATATAATTATGGTACATCTTAGTCCATTCTTCAATAGGAATGATTTAATGTGAGGCTGTTTATGCCACCCCGTAATCATTCACTGTATCTAAATGGGGCCAGGGATAAGCTGTTGCAGATAGGAGTTCAAGGGATAAGGATGCTACAGGGTAGTTGCTGAGGTATCATTTGAGAGGGCTGAAAAAAAAATCCAGCTGGTGGCAAATTAAAAGAACTAAAAGAAGCTTTTAAGAAGGCAAAATGGTTTATCAAGTTGCACCCATCCAGAAGAAATACTGTCAACTGTAAATCATTGCATATAAGTTAGCAGCCAAGCATTATGGATCCCAAGGTCTTAAAGGAGGTGGGGTGAGTTTCTTATTGGTTGGAGTTGGCTGCTGAATCATGTGGCCACCCTACATTTATGTAGAAGGACATCGATAGGTCCTAATATGCCTCGACAGTGGGAGATTATGGCTACTTCTCTATGGAACCAGAAGCTATGTCGGAAATGAAGGTTGTGAGGAAGGAAAATGAGCCACTGATATAGATGCTTATTGAATGGCAGCACTCTAATCCAGACGATGCTCATTTGAAATCACTGGAAGCTACGTGCCAGCGGTTCCTCGGTTTTAACTCTAATGCACCTCTCATCCTTGACTGCATGGATGCTTCTTCTTTTTTTTTTGGGGGGGGGGGGTTGTTTGGGGTGGTGTTAGTTTATACAAGACATTTGTGATATGTTTTTCTTACATGAAGGTAAGGAGCATCAGTCACCTTAGGGACCATTATGTGAGTTGGAGTGTTTAACAAAGTATTGTAGAATTGAGCATTGTGCCATTATGCAATGGTAGTACTTAATAGATATTTTTTTATCCTCATAATAAAAGCACTTTCGTCATGATTAAAGGTACGGAACACTTTGCATGCGTGAAAATCCTGGATGTCTGTTCATTGCAACAAACCGCGATGCTGTTACTCATCTCACGGATGCTCAAGAATGGGCACGTTAAACCACCTTTCCTCTTACTGTGTTTACAAATGATATTGCAAATCTTAATTATGCAGCGTCTTGGATTTTCCTTTTAACAACACCAAGCGAAATTCATGTTGACCAAACGGCGAAATAACTGGTTCTGAGCTGGCCAATAGACTACGAGATAGAGAAAGTTTCAAATGATTCAATTGCATGGCATATTTGTTATGTGTCACTTATCATGTTGAGCAGTACTTTTAAGTTTCAGTGTAGAAATCATTAAAACTTCCTTATAAATATGAAATTGCCTGATATTTTTCGCCAAAGTTAATAATCTATCTAATGCTCCAATAAATTGTATATGATGTCTGATTGATTTTAGGTGGGGGATCTATGGTTGGTGCTCTTAGTGGATCTGCACAACGTGAGCCGCTGGTGGTTGGAAAGCCCTCCACTTTCATGATGGACTACTTAGCTAACAAGTAAGCTTTTATATTTCCCAATAGGAAAAACCATTTTGGAGGTACTTATATTTTTTTTTTCAATTTTCAATTTGGTACTTTTTCTTAATTAAATCTTTAATTTTGTTTTATTAATATCGTTAACTCTTGCATATAGACTGAAAATACTAATAGAACAAAATTACAAGAGCAAATCTTGCTAAAAAAGAAAAATTAAATGATTTAATTAAGAGGAAAAAAACACATGAGTATCAAATTAAAAATTGAGAGAAAGTATAAGTACCTCAAATATGGTTTTCCCACTTGATGTGTGGATGAAAGAACTTGGCATTTTGCTCAAGAAGTTTGCCCTGAATCTGGTCTGATATCCCCAAATGACAGATTTGGAATTCAGAAGTCACAGATTTGCATGGTTGGGGACAGATTAGACACCGATATTTTGTTTGGACAAAATGGTGGCTGCAAAACTCTTCTTGTGCTGTCAGGGGTAACCTCATTGGCCATGCTTCAAAATCCTAACAACAACATACAACCAGACTTCTATACGAACAAAATTTCAGATTTTCTTTCCCTGAAAGCTGCACCTGTATGATCGTTTCATGGAATTGTCTCCTGTTCCATGCGGCAAACGATTTTTTAACAAATATTTATTATCTTCACTTACTTGTTTCCACGTTTTGTTCTAATTTTTAAAATAATAGCATGATTATTTGTGTATTCAAAATCATGGTTATATATTTATATCTCCCTTCAAACCGTGAGTTGGTACTAGCAGATGATAATAAAAGGGTTCAGACTACTTAGGATTCCATGTTGAGTTCTGCATCATATGATAACAATCAGTTATTTATTTGAGGAAATATTGTAGCATCCTAGTAGCTGATTCTAGTCTCATATCAGCACCATTTAATTAGTTTCTCCATTGCTCTGAAAATTTCCTATTTTTCCGCCATCGTAGCTTCTATTAGAGGGGATAAAAATCTAGAATGACGAGAAAAATATGGAGAAGAATCTAAAGTGGCGAGAGGATGCGGTTAAACTCACAGCTTACAACTGTTGATTTTATAGTCTTGGAAATATCCCGTGTCCTTAAAAAATAATATAAAAATAAAAACAAGAATGAAATTTTAATGTGCTGAGAGATAAAATAAACATTATATATCTCTCTTTTTATCAAATTAAAATAGAAAGCTTTGCTAATAATAGTAACATCAGATACTACTTATGTCTGCAACATCTTCAACCGAAAACACGCTGGTCAACTTGACAAAATCCGAAGACCAAGTCTACAACATCCTCAATTGAGTCGTTTACATCCTTAAGATACTCGTGTAAAATCATACAAATATGTGGTACTTCAAATTATCAATAACCCAACCACACAAGATTATGTACATAAAGCATGCTAGTACCAGCACATACGCATTGCTCTTTTCACACAATTCAAAATACTCTTTCTAACCAGCAAAAGCCATATTCAATTCTCAGTTACTCCTTGTGCTTCTCTTTTCCCTTATCTGACTAACAATTCACCTGTAAGAGTGTGACCCCTAAATAAACTGAGAGCATGATAGAAGAAGAAGAAGAAGAAGAAGATTAATATTCTCGATTATAATGATAACCTGCTAATCATCACTCCATTAAAATTGCTGGAGATCCTCAGTCATGCCGCCACCCACAAATCCTGCAAACAAGAGAGTTGGATGGAGTATTAAAAGAAATTGAGAAAGAACAATGTTAGCCGGGCTTTACGATTGATTATTTTGATTCCTACATTGCAATTTGCATGTTATAATTAATAATTGTAGTGCATAGATAGTATAAATGTATTTCTGTTTTTTTAATCAGAATTTACAATTGAAGACAATCTGCTTTCAAAGAATCAAGAATCACTTCCATCAAGAGAGGGGGGAAAAAAGAAGAATAAAATTCACTGAGTGAATTTTATAATCAAAATTTAATATGCGATAACAAATTGCACTTGCAAAACTTTAAGAGGAATCTAAACCAGGTGCTTCTAAGAATGAGATTCTTCATTTGATGTAGAAAAAGTTCAATTTTCTTAATATCATATGCGAAAAACAATGCCGATTACATTGTAACCTAGTGGCAGAAATATGTTTTTACAAGTAGGAGGTTGCAGGTTCCATCTGCTTGTGATTTCAAACCATATAGCACACACTATCATGTCTAGCCCAATAGACAAACAAATTAAATGATATACACTTATTCTTAATTTATGAGAAAAATAAAATGCAAAAATAGGAACCCGGTAAGGAGACCACAAAAATTGGAAAACATCCAGAGAAATGAGCTTTTGCAAGCAAGCTTCAAAAAATATCCTCAAACCCTAAGTTATGTTCAATTTTCTTCCCCTAATTTTAACGCCACTTACAATGTTGACCAATGCATGTTGTAGGACAATGCTTTGACCAATGCTAGCTAAGCTATTTAATTATATAATACTCTATTTTTAACGTATTTCTCGTTATTTCTTCTTCTTTCATCTTTCAAATTCCTTCAAAAATACCTATGAACAACTTTAACTAGTCTCCCTCAATTAAACTTATCTAGAATTTTAGGAATCTTACGTTAAAGCCTAGTTTAATTAGAATTAGATTGTTCAGGTATAAAAAAATAGCTTAGCGTGTAAAAGACAATCTCACTGGCTTTATTAGTTTTTCTTTTTCAAAATAGATTTTCAAATCCTTCTTTATATGAACACCGTTCACGGGGAAAATGCAAAAAAAAGAAGCCTAATAGATAAAGCAATCACACACACACACAGAGAAAGAGAGAGAGAGATTACTTGCCTAAAGAATAAAGAAGGGAGTTCAGATTATATCCACTCTTTAAGTGCTGGCATGTGCACCCTCATCAAACTCCATTTTTTTCAAGTGAGGCGATGGTTGGTTGCTGCTCTTCAACACCGGGAGGCCTCTTCCTTTTCCTCCCTGTTTCCATTTCCTGAACAAATTTCTGACATGCTGAGACAGATACTGGCCCCACCCCGCATTCTTTGATCATTAACTTGGGTCCAACAGAGAATTCGAAGCGAAGCTTTATGTTAGTGAACAACTGTTGATTTCTTCTTCTAATTTCATTCACTATCCTTTTATCTGCTAAGCCATCATTCCATATAAAAACATCATCAGATTTCATATCTCCAAAAAGCGCTACAAACCCTGAATCTACCGTATGCAAACCTTCCACGTAGCATTTGCACGTCAAGTATTGACTTTCACAGTTAATTTCTGAGTGAACATCAAGTACAATGCAGAAGAAGAAACTCGTTAAGTCTGAAATTTGAGAGAGTTCAATAGTTATGGAGCTTTGTGCTGCCCTGTATTTGATCCACTCTGGTACTCTGCTTCCGGAAACACGAATCGAACGACAAGCTCTGTAGTTCTTATTTTTAGGCAATAAATGATAAGTCATAGAATAGACAGCAGCCTCCATGATATTGCGAAGCGATTGTTCATTCAGTTGCCCACAGTTCTGGAATGAGAAGTCTAGTGGGCCACCACTTGATGGTCTACAAGTTGACACAATTTCCAATGACTTGCAATAATCGGCACACAGGGTTGCAATGGATGGAGGGAGTTCTGGTAAAGAACGAAGCCTCTTACAATCCCGTACAATAAGCATTTCCAATCCTGAAAGATGCTTAGAGTTACTGGGCAGGTCAATTATGTTACCGCACCCAACCAGCTCCACTTCTCTTAAAGACAACATGCTATCAAAAAAGATATGTAGCTTCAAATCATCAATGATTTCACAGTTCTGAAGCGCAAGAGTCGTCAAACTTGTCAAGCAAGATAATTGGTTAGGAAGGTTCACAAGTCTTGATCCACCAAGAATCATCTCTTCCAATTTACTTGAACTCGCTACAGACGAGTGCAAGATTTCAATTCCTGTTGATTCTAAATTCAATATTCTCAGTTGATCCGATGACACTGAGAACTCCTTGAGATTCCAGCACCCCATCACCTCGATATGTTGTAGAGATCTTAAATGTAAACTTTTTAGACTCCCAAGTTTCTTGCACTTAAATAAGTTCAACTCAACAAGCGAGTGGAGAGACAAGATTGAGGAATGAACAGAGCACAAACTTTCGCATCGCGCAAGTTGTACCGCTTTGAGATTCAAGCATTTAGAGAGATTGGGCAGCTCTTGTAGTTGTTTGGAACCACTAAGGTCTATCTCTTGTAAGCTCACAAACTCCTATACCAACAAAGATGGACAGTTCAAATGAGGACATCAAGACGTTTCAACCGAATGAAAAACATGAAGCACAAATAAGGTTATACATACTTGCACTCCGCTCCAAAGCTTTTGAATATGGCTATCGGGCATGCAGAGCTTAACAAGCTTTTTAGGACAAAAAGTGGAGGGCAGAGATTTAAGTGGGAATCCATACCACTCTAGATACCTCATCTGATTGGGAAGAAATTTGAGACCTTCTGGAAGGTGCACATGACTTGAGCCACGATAGGAAGTTGAATAAAATTTGACGAGTCTTATATTTGGCATTCTCTCGAAAACCTCGGCTTCCAAATGTAGATCTCTAATTTGAGAAACATTCAACTTTATTCCTTCAACTTGCTTTGATCCCTTAAACAACAAAAGAAACCATAGTAAGTAAATCACTGCATATTACGATCGCATTATTCATAAAGTTACAAGTATATAGGTTAGAAAAGCAAGCATGAATTTCTTACCATATTATTAGCTAATACATCATAAATTTCCTCTGAATCACATAAACGTCTACGTCCTCCTGGTTCATTGATGGACTCTTCACGAGCTATTTGCAAACCCATTTCTTGGATCAAATCATGCATTTCCACATGGATACTGCCATCCACATTTATGAGGGCCTTGTCATGGAGTGTTCTTATGCCGATAGCTCCGCAGAAGCCAAAGCTATCTAATAAGCTGATTACCAACTCTGTCAACTCTCCCTTTAAAAAGCAAGCAATGTCTAGAAATATTTTCTTCTCCTCGTCATCCAGCTCATCGTAACTCAATCTCAACACATTCTGAATTTCTTGATAAGGATTCTTCTTCAGTTTTTTCAAAGCACTCTCCCACTCAACTTGATTTCTACCACGAAGATATGAACCCAAAACTTTTAAAGCCAATGGAATTCCTTGTGCATAAACAACTGCCGTTTTTGTTAGTTCTCCATATCCCATTATAGGCAAGCTAGTGCTGAAGGCATTCAAGCTGAAAAGTTCAAGGGATTGATGGAAGTCCAATTTCTTAACCTCATATAATGCGTCAACTCCTTTGCTGAGCGCATGCTTGTCCCTTGTTGTGATGAGAATTTTACTTCCTTGCCCAAAGCAAAAAGGTTTTCCAACCAAACATTCTAATTGCTCCACTGTACTGATATCATCAAGAACAACAAAAACCCTCATACGACTAAGCCTCGACTCAAGAAAAGAGGTTGAAGTATCAATAACGGAATCATCCCCTAGCAGACGGGAGAGAAATTTACGGCGTAATTCAGTATTTCCATTTTTAGACTCTTCTCTTACAGCTTCAAAGAAGCAAGAATAATCATAATGGGAAGAATGTTTTAAAAATATAGTTTGGGCAATGGTTGACTTGCCGATACCCCCCATGCCCCATATTCCAATGGTTTTTGTTTTGGCATCTTTCAACAATAATTCAATCTCTGCGCAGTTGTCCTCAATGCCTATGAGTCCTTTTATTTCAGCTGGGGGGTACTTGTGATTCAGTTTCTGCAATATGTCTTTGGCAATCTTTTGAATCAATTCGGATTCATCCCTAACATAAGAAAAATAAAAGGCGAAAAAGGAAAAGCGCAATTAAGCAGAAAAAATTGATTTATTAAAGACAAATGATAAGTGATAAGCGATAAGTAAACAGAGAAAAAATTGTATAGAGTGTATAAATATAAATGATAAATGATAAAGACCTAAAAATGTTCACTAAAAATTGAACATAATGTCTTAATCATTTGATCCATCACGTAAATCTCTGCAAACGCCATCATTTGTGAATAGAAGAAAATTAATGATTTTATTAATTACCTGAACGTGTCAGAGTCATAACCAGCTAAGTTTGCAGCTTCATGAAGAGCTTGCTTCCACATTTGCATCTTGTGTTGGTCAAACTTGACATCTCTCTCATAATTCTCAAATGCTTGCTTGTAAACCCCAGTCTGATTGCGTACATGAGATGGGTCGACTCTATAGAAGACAGGAATAACAATCTGTCCTTGAACCCTTTTGCAATGGAGTATATGGACGAGTTCATCCAAGCACCATCTTGAAGAAGGATAATTTGCAGAGAACACCACCACTGATACATATGAATCCTTGATAGCTTGCAGAAGTGATGGTGAGATCTCATCTCCTTTCACGAGTTGGTAGTCTATGTAGGTTCTAATTTGTTTTCTGCAGAAAGCATCATAAAGATGGCTGGTGAAGTTGGAGCGAGTGTCCTCACCCCTAAAGCTGATGAACACATCATTCTTCTTCGGAACGGATTGAGCAGAGGAAGAGGATGAAGCAGCAAGAAGGGCCATATCTCTATCTAATTGAGCAGCAGGGAGAGCAATGTGTAGTATTGAAAACTTTTTGGAAATGAATCAGAGACGGAGTATCAGAAGATGCAGATGAGTGGAAGAGGAAATAGGCTACGCGGTTATGTTTTGATAGGCTTAGTAATTTCCTTGAAGGATGTTATTGATTCTTTAATCAAAAGCGTGCCACTTTATGACTTTGAGTCAAAAGTGTGCCACTTTATGATTTTGAGTCAAAAAGCGAGGCTAATTAACGAGTAGGCACGTATGTGGATGCCATGCAATTTCCAGGAAGGAGGGATTGATGGTCGTCATCATCAAAAGAGTGCAACTTTATGACTTAGTGATCAAGCAGATAGGTTGTTATTCTCTGATCTGAAACGTTAAACTGGGGTTAGTTACTGATGAACTTCAAGTTAATTTCCAGTTTCCTTGAGTTTAATTCCCCTGCATTACAACAATAAATCCAAGCTAAGAAAGAATAATGATTCCACATTGATATAATGATTCCACATCGCCTGCCCAAGAGCTCACGACTTGCCCCCGACAAATTAACTTTTTTTTCCCCCTCTTTTGAAAAAAGGGGACACTTCAACGAGTAATCTATTGATAAGACTTGGAAGGACAATAATGAAGTATGTGCTGAAGCCTCATGTTTAAATCTCATTCCATTTTCGTGGCTAAAATAATATCTCTGGAAACAAATTAATGCACGGCCTATCATTGACAAGTATGAGTTAAAAATGAAAGAATTTATATTAATACAAAGTTGAACTGAAAAATATGCAAATGCATGGAAACTAAAACACACACACATATATAATGATTTGAAAGTTCAGCTAAACCGAACAATTTGATTATTCAATGGAAGTTTTACGACGCGTTTCGTGAGGTTTGAATTGTGTGTATAATTTAGTTATCATTTTGAATCATTTAAACCTCACATTTGAGTCGGGAACCAAAACTTAACCATAAACAAAGCAACTTTTATGTAATTGGACGAATATGAAGTCAGCTCATTTAACAGTATTTTTACCCTGAAAATTCCTATTTTGCTCATCCTTATCCATGAACGAAACCATCCTTGGAAAGGGTAATTAATTAAGAAAAATTAAATGATTTGTTTGATGATTTCTTCCCAAACCGAACGTAATATTAATCATTTACCTATCTCGGATCATTAGTTAAGGAAATTTCATTCCTTGTTGAATCATGGGCAGAAATGATTGACGGTCCCAATTAAAGTACTATCATCGTTCTTTTGCTCTCACATCAAATTAAAGTGCATTCACATGCTCTTCCTATACATATATGTATACATATATATGTATATATATGTATATAATGTAAATTCTCCTCGAGACTTACTTACACAACATAAAGCAATCACACATCTTTCCATTCCTTTTTCGTTTGTGGCATGTGACTTATGGTCCACTGCCATAATTATCCATCAATTTATTCATCCTCACTCATACCCAAATTAATTTAACTAATTATCATTATTAATTAATCTCTCTTCTATGCTAACTTAATTGGTCAATTGCTTACGTTTATATGCTTCTTCAGCTTGATCTCCCTGTAATGATTGCCCCGCTTTCAAGTTTTGATCATTAAGTAAGCCCACCAAACAGGATACTTGTCAATTATTTCACATGAATCCTTTTTTTTTCAGGCTAGACATAGGTATTGGATACTAAATATGGACATTTCTTCTAACAGAAATCAACTCTCTCTACTAAACCTAATCTCATTAATAAATACACTTCCTTTAAGACTAACGCACGTATGTTTGAGTTTTCCTCCCTCGAAACTAGCCAGAATTCTTATGCTTAACTTTTTGGTTTTTGCGGGAAAAAAGATAAAGTAAAGACACAGATATGCTTTACTCAAAAAAAAAAAAAAAAAAAAGACACAGATATGCAAACAACTTTTTAATTTTTGAATGTTGTCTATAAATTTTTTTTTTAAATTTTTTTTATAACTTGTGAAAAATATAATACTTGTGATAATATATTTTTTTACTTATATAGGAAGATACGTTATTTGTTATCAATTAATTCATTATCGGTGTCTATTTTCAAACTTTGAAAATTTAAAAAATTATTGGCGTAGTTTAAACTTGAGGGGATCCGATGAAAGTTGCCCCTTGGAAGAAAATTAAGCCAGGGTATAAAAAAAAAATGGAATCATTTTTTTATGAAGTAATGGAATCATTAATTTAATCATTTCTATATGAACTAAAAAGAAAGCTAAATGATGATTAAATGTAGAATCAAGTCCGACTTTACTACTTTAACATGCCTTTTCTGGGAAATACTTGATTTAAGTTATATTGTCATATATAAACACGAGAGGAAGGGACATGCAGTTAGAAAATAAACTTAGCATATTTAAACTATTAAAAAAATAAATATTTTTTATTGTGATTTTTATTTATTTATAGCAAATGCCTTAGAGTTGTATATAAGTTTCAAATTAACAAAAAGGGTAACAACTTTTGATTTTAATTATAAGTACGTAACAATGGTTTTACATGAGTTCATAAAATTAGCTTTTTTTTTAGTAAAATATCAAAATTACCTTCAATAAAAAGCACAAAAGCATCCATAAGAAGAGGTTAATTAGTTAGGAAGGGTTGGGATTAACGCGAAATACTTGGTGAAAAAATTAATGATCCACAGTCCACATAAAACATAGTCTAGTATGAAGAAAAAAAATTTAGATCAAGTTACTTAATATATTAAGTTTTTTAATGATCATACGAAAACGAGTAATATACTACGCAGATGAGTGGCAGAAGAAACAGGCTACGCGGTTATGTTTTGACAGGCTTAGTAATTTCCTGGAAGGATGTAATTAATTCTTCAGTTAAAAGTGTGCCACTTTATGAGTTTCAGTCAAAAAGTGAGGCTAATTAACGAGTAGGCATGTCTGTGGATGCCATGCAATTTCCAGGAAGGAGGGATTGATGGTCTTCATCATCAAAAGAGGGCAACTTTATGACTTGATAGTCAAGAAGATACGTTGTTATTCTCTTATCTGAAACGTTAAACTGGGGTTAGTGACTGATGACTTCAAGTTAATTTACAGTTTCCTTGAGTTTAATTCCCCTGCCTTACAACAATAAATCCAAGCTAAGAAAGAATTACTTAGAAAAACATTAATAACTATTGGAAAAATTAGATAAGAGCAAGGCTTGCTTGAAATTTTATAATTTTTTAAATTATTTTTGAGATAAGTATTTCAGATTTCAATATATTATGTCGGCTCATTTAAAGCAGTTCTTTTTCACGCGAAATTTCTATTGAGGAAGGTAAGAAGCTAACAAGAAACGTCTGTTTTTTTTTTTCCCCTTTTTGGGGGGGGGGAGCAAAAACAAGAAAACTTCTCAACCTTTGACGTACAAATGGAATGAAACGGAGGAAAAATAGACAGAAAAAGTTAATTTTATATAAGTTGAAAAGATATCTTTCATGTCCTTAAAATAAAAAAGGGGAAATCACAAATAAAGACCCTCGAATTAGCAAAATCACTCTATGGTCACCTGAATATGCTAAATTACTATGAGGGACCTGGTCTCAAATTGTAATTATGAAATCATGGCCAAATTACCAAAATACCCCTCTTTAATTTTTTTTTTAAAAAAGAAAGCCATTGCCTCACCGGAATCCGGCCACCGGCGCCGGAGCTCCGGCGGCCGCTTCCGGCCACTATCGGTGGCCGGACGCCGGGGTCCGGCCGTCGGAGCTCCGGCGCCCGCTTCCGGCGGTCTTCCTTTGTTTTTTTTTTTTAAACTGTTTTTTTCTTTAAATTGGGGGGAAGTGAGGTTGGGGGGATTTGATCCCCCAACCTAATGCTTCCCAAAATAAGGAATGACCATTGAACCAACAAATTTTTGTTAACATTATGATGCAAAAAAAATATAAGTTAACTCATTTACTCTTGTTCCAGGTGATAACAACAATACATTTGGAAATAACAAGTTCTGATTGTAAAATAACACGTTTGGAATAAAAATTTAACAATATGTTTTTTTTATAACAATAAATTTTGTTGCAGGTAATAACAACAATACATTTAAAAATAACAAGTTTTGATTATAAAATAACAAGTTTGGGATTAAAATTTAATAACACGTTTTTTTTATAACAATACACTTTGTTTCAAGTGATAACAACAATACATTTAAAAATAACAAGTTCTGATTATAAGATAATAAGTCTAGGATTAAAATTTAACAACACGTTTTTTTATAACAATTAATTATTTTATACTTTTAAAAAATAAATTATTTATAACTTATAAAAAATATTTTTAATATATTTATTTCTCTAAAAAAATACTTTTTAGTCTGTATATCTATACAACTCATTATAAATCAAACTACTTCTTATAAATTATAAAGTATTTATAATAAGGCATTTTTGATTTACTAATCATAGTATAAATTTTATATTATTTCATTCTTTAAATATTAAAAATAGTTTTTATATTTAAAGAATAAAATAGTATTTTTAATTATAAATTAGAGATAAATTTCATTTATAAATTTAAGCAGTCAAAAAGTATTTTTAATCCACAATAAATTGTACTATTTATAATTTATAAGAAGTAGTTTGATTTATAATAAGTTGTATAGATATATAGATTAAAAAAATTTTTAAAAAAATTAAAAAAGTGTGTTGCCATTTTCCCTAAATTTTATTTATAAATTTGAACAATAAAAAAGTATTTTTAATCTATAAAAAATTATACTTCAAGTTCTGATTATAAATTGGAGATAAAAATTATTTTTTTAGCAAATTAAATAGATTACAAGTACTTTTTATAAGTTATAAATAATTTATTTTCCAAAAGTATAAAATAATTAATTGTTATAAAAAAAAGGTGCTGTTGAATTTTAATTCCAGACTTGTTATTTTATAATCAGAACTTGTTATTTCCAAATGTATTGTTGTTATCACTTGAAACAAAGTGTGTTGTTATAAAAAAACATGTTG